GTCTAGGTCTATAGTCTAGCTCTTAGTCTAGTCTATAGTCTAGTCTATAGTCTAGTCTATAGTCTAGTCTATAGTCTAGTCTATAGTCTAGTCTATAGTCTAGTCTATAGTCTAGTCTATAGTCTAGTCTATAGTCTATTCTATAGTCTAGTCTATAGTCTAGTCTATAGTCTAGTCTATAGTCTAGTCTATAGTCTAGTCTATAGTCTAGTCTATAGTCTAGTCTATAGTCTAGTCTATAGTCTAGTCTATAGTCTAGTCTATATCTAGTCTATAGTCTAGTCTATAGTCTAGTCTATAGTCTAGTCTATAGCTATAGTCTAGTCTATAGTCTAGTCTATAGTCTAGTCTATAGTCTAGTCTATAGTCTAGTCTATAGTCTAGTCTATAGTCTAGTCTATAGTCTAGTCTATAGTCTAGTCTATAGTCTAGTCTATAGTCTAGTCTATAGTCTAGTCTATAGTCTAGTCTATAGTCTAGTCTATAGTCTAGTCTATAGTCTAGTCTATAGTCTAGTCTATAGTCTAGTCTATAGTCTAGTCTATAGTCTAGTCTATAGTCTAGTCTATAGTCTAGTCTATAGTCTAGTCTATAGTCTAGTCTATAGTCTAGTCTATAGTCTAGTCTATAGTCTAGTCTATAGTCTAGTCTATAGTCTAGTCCATAGTCTAGTCTATAGTCTAGTCTATAGTCTAGTCTATAGTCTAGTCCATAGTCTAGTCTATAGTCTAGTCTATAGTCTAGTCTATAGTCTAGTCTATAGTCTAGTCTATAGTCTAGTCTAGTCTATAGTCTAGTCTATAGTCTAGTCTATAGTCTAGTCTATAGTCTAGTCTATAGTCTAGTCTATAGTCTAGTCTATAGTCTAGTCTATAGTCTAGTCTATAGTCTAGTCTATAGTCTAGTCTATAGTCTAGTCTATAGTCTAGTCTATAGTCTAGTCTATAGTCTAGTCTATAGTCTAGTCTATAGTTCTCGTCTATAGTCTAGTTCTATAGTCTAGTCTATAGTCTAGTCTATAGTCTAGTCTATAGTCTCGTTTATAGTCTAGTCTATAGGTCTAGTCTATAGTCTAGTCTATAGTCTAGTCTATAGTACTAGTCTATAGTCTAGTCTATAGTCTAGTCCTTATAGTCTAGTCCTATAGTCTAGTCTATAGTCTCGTCTATAGTCTAGTTCATAGTCTAGCTCCATAGTCTAGTCTATAGTCTAGTCTATTAGTCTAGTCTTATTAGTCTTAGTCTCTTAGTTCAGTTCTATAGTCTAGTCTATGTAGTCTATAGTCTAGTCTATAGTCTAGTCTATAGGTCTAGTCTATAGTCTAGTAGTCTATAGTCTAGTCTATTAGTCTAGTCTATAGTCTATTCTATAGGCTTAGTCTATAGTCTAGTCTAAAGTCTAGTCTATAGTCTAGGTCTATAGTCTAGTCTATTAAGTATAGTCTAGTCTATAGTCTAGTCTATAGTCTAGTCTATAGTCTAGTCTATAGTCTAGTCTATAGTCTAGTCTATAGTCTAGTCTATAGTCTAGTCTATAGTCTAGTCTATCTAGTCTATAGTCTAGTCTATAGTCTAGTCTATAGTCTAGTCTATAGTCTAGTCTATAGTCTAGTCTATAGTCTAGTCTATAGTCTAGTCTATAGTCTAGTCTATAGTCTAGTCTATAGTCTAGTCTATAGTCTAGTCATAGTCTAGTCTATTGTCTAGTCTATAGTCTAGTCTATAGTCTAGTCTATAGTCTAGTCTATAGTCTAGTCTATAGTCTAGTCTATAGTCTAGTCTATAGTCTAGTCTATAGTCTAGTCTATAGTCTAGTCTATAGTCTAGTCTATAGTCTAGTCTATAGTCTAGTCTATAGTCTAGTCTATAGTCTAGTCTATAGTCTAGTCTATAGTCTAGTCTATAGTCTAGTCTATAGTCTAGTCTATAGTCTAGTCTATAGTCTAGTCTATAGTCTAGTCTATAGTCTAGTCTATAGTCTAGTCTATAGTCTAGTCTATAGTCTAGTCTATAGTCTAGTTCTATAGTCTAGTCTATAGTCTAGTCTATAGTCTAGTCTATAGTCTAGTCTATAGTCTAGTCTATAGTCTAGTCTATAGTCTAGTCTATAGTCTAGTCTATAGTCTAGTCTATAGTCTAGTCTATAGTCTAGTCTATAGTCTAGTCTATAGTCTAGTCTATAGTCTAGTCTATAGTCTAGTCTATAGTCAGTCTATAGTCTAGTCTATAGTCTAGTCTATAGTCTAGTCTATAGTCTAGTCTTAGTCAGTCTATAGTCTAGTCTATAGTCTAGTCTATAGTCTAGTCTATAGTCTAGTCTATAGTCTAGTCTATAGTCTAGTCTATTAGTCTAGTCTATAGTCTAGTCTATAGTCTAGTCTATAGTCTAGTCTATAGTCTAGTCTATAGTAGTCTAGTCTATAGTCTAGTCTATAGTCTAGTCTATAGTCTAGTCTATAGTCCTAGTCTAGTCTATAGTCTAGTCTATAGTCTAGTCTATAGTCTAGCTCTATAGTCTAGTCTATAGTCTAGTCTATAGTCTAGTCTATGTCTAGTCTATAGTCTAGTCTATAGTCTAGTCTATAGTCTAGTCTATAGTCTAGTCTATAGTCTAGTCTATAGTCTAGTCTATAGTCTAGTCTATAGTCTAGTCTATAGTCTAGTCTATAGTCTAGTCTATAGTCTAGTCTATAGTCTAGTCTATAGTCTAGTCTATAGTCTAGTCTATAGTCTAGTCTATAGTCTAGTCTATAGTCTATTCTATAGTCTAGTCTATAGTCTAGTCTATAGTCTAGTCTATAGCTAGGTCTATAGTCTAGTCTATAGTCTAGTCTATAGTCTAGTCTATAGTCTAGTCTATACGTCTAGTCTATAGTCAGTCTATAGTCTAGTCTATAGTTAGTCTATATTCTAGTCTATAGTCTAGTCTATAGTCTAGTCTATAGTCTAGTCTATAGTCTAGTCTATAGTCTAGTCTATAGTCTAGTCTCTAGTCTAGTCTAGTCTAGTCTATAGTCTTGTCTATAGTCTAGTCGTATCTGTATAGTCTAGTCTATAGTCTTGTCTATAGTCTAGTCTAGTCTAGTTCTATAGTCTAGTCTATAGTCTGTCTATAGTCTAGTCTATAGTCTAGTCTATAGTCTAGTCTATAGTCTAGTCTATAGTCTAGTCTATAGTCTAGTCTATAGTCTAGTCTATAGTCTAGTCTTAGTCTAGTCTATAGTCTAGTCTATAGTCTAGTCTATAGTCTAGTCTATAGTCTAGTCTATAGTCTAGTCTATAGTCTAGTCTATAGTCTAGTCTATAGTCTAGTCTATAGTCTAGTCTATAGTCTAACTACAGAGTTGTCTGTTGTCTGTTCTGTATTATAGTCTGTAGTATAGACATAGTCTAGACTGTTAGGCTATTCTGTAATAAAGTCTGTAGTCTAGTCTATATAGGTTATAATATTATTCGATATTGTATATACGAACTAATGCCCAATATTCAGCATATTCGCGATATAGTCCATTGGATCTCTTTAAATTTGTTTTAAATATTAAATATTGTTAGAAACTTGTTGTTTTTGATTTCGAACTTTTTCGTTACGTTCTGGAGTTAAAAAACCCGTGTTTATGAAATCATCCTAAAAAGTAATTTCGAGTGTTATATATAACTAGGGATAATAAATTAAGTAAATACATACATTTGTTTCTTAATTTCGAGCATATTTTTAAGAATAGCACTAAACTTTTTTTTCTAAAAACCAATACATTTAAATAAACATTTGCATGGCAATTCATAAAATTTAGAGCAATATAATTAAGTTACACACACATATAGGAAATAGATTGGTTCTGTGGCAACAAGTTAAATGTACACAAATAGAGTTTCATAAAACTAAAACTTAATATGCCATCCATGCATCGTACTTTATTGAAAATACAAGTTTGGTACTTTTTGGAAAATTGAATGTTTAAGGGGAAAAAATTGTACTTTTTATAAAACATGTTTTCTATTTATTGGCTTATACAAATGCATGACTATTTAATAATATATTCCCACTGCTGGTATTGAATCTTTTTTAGAATACAATTTTTATTGCTCTAGTAGGGAGGAAAAAAGTACCAAAAAGGGCATATTTGAACTCTTTGAGACAATTTGGATAAAATTTTAGAAATTGATAGATTTAGTAAAACTGGGGTGTTAATTGCAGCTCGGCTACTGAACCTTACTTAAGTACACAATTTAGTGAATAATTTGGTACTTTTTGAGCTGATAAAGCAGATTTGTAGCTTTAGTGCATTTCCGTGGCCAAAAACATTGAATGGTTTGAAATCTTGTAAACGTATATTCCGGAGTTAGAAAGGAAAATTGTCCTTCCAAAAAAGAAGTTTTTTTTATATAGAGGGAATTTTTTGGTACTTTTTTATTCAACTGGTACTTTTTGTATTTTTATAATATTGAACCTAAAAACATAAAATTAAAAGATAAACTATAAAAGAGAACATTCTACAAATGACTTTGACCATTTGTTTTGGATGTTGCAGAACAACTTTTACATAAAAGTTAAAAGTAAGCACTGAAATAAGTGGTTCTTAAGAAGTAGTGCTAAAGTAAAGCCAACGTAATTACTTTATTATTGATTTTTACTTAGCAGGATTAGAGCTTAGAAAAGAGATTTAAAATATACCAAAAAAATTGAGATAAGCACTTTTACTTTGTTGCCACAGAGTTATAGGAGAGACATACATACATAGAAGATAGTTAGAAAGAGTAAGAGGAAATATATATATATTGTATGAAGAGAAATAGAAAGAGACATGTATAATTGAAATAAGTTGCTAGAGATTAAATAATTTAAATTAAAAAAAAATTATCTAGTAAATTGTTGGATTTTACTTTAATTCAATTGAATTTGCAATAAAACTTAGTTTCTGTTTTGTTTTGATTTTCTTTCTTTAATGGGTATTGTATTGTTCCGCCTGGCATCCTAAAACTGATATTTACCAAGTTCTTTAC